GAGTGCGCGGGGCGGGGCCCGGCCCGGGACCCCACCCCCCGCTTTAAAAAAAAAAATTCAAAGCTGACGAGAACTTTATTGGCAGCCCCAGGCGCAAACAACCGCGCGCGCGGGTCGGACTGGGCGGCCGACGCTCATTGGCGGAGGGCACGACCTGAGGGCGGGCCAAGGGAGAGCCAAGGCCTTCCGTGATTGGTCACGGTGCCCGTATCTGCGTCCCAGCGTCCGGCCTTCCGCCTTGTTTTCATTCATTTGGCCGCTTGAGGGCCTGGAAATACTAGTGTAGTGTCTGCGGGTGGCGCTATGTCCCTGTGCCCAGCAACGGGACGGAATGCAAATGACCCGACCTGCCTACAGACTGCACTAGGGCTTTGGGGTAGTTAGAAGTGCAGATTACACCACGTGGCCAAGGGCCAAAGAGGCACTTTTCTTGCTCCTTATATTTTAATTTCTCTTACTTGGTACCTTAAAAATTCGCTTCAGGCAGGGCATGGTGGCTCACACCTTAAATCCCAGAGACATAGGAAGGCCTGGTCTACATCGTGAATTCCAGGACAGCCATGTAGAGAGAACCTACATCAAACAAACAAAAATCCGCTTCAGGCCCCAGGATGTAGGGCAATGGTTAGCATATGTGAGGCCCTGGGGTTCCATGTGCATCATTTTACTTGAATCTTGTGGGATAGAAATTCTATGGGACTGAAGATAGTTAGGCAAGACTCCTAGAGAGGTAGGACCTTGGAAAGAAGATATTTGTGTTGAAGGGACCAGCTCCCCATTTCCCAGCCAAAACAGCCGAACGTGTGCTTTCCTGACCTTGCCTTGGTCACTAGGATGCCTGCCTCCTGGCAAGGAACCAATCAGAAGTTAGCTGGTGGCGCTATGCTTTATGGCTCTGGATGTGATTTACAGTCACGTGCACAGCAATGACATGCAGAGCATAGCAACCACCCTGGGAGGGCCTATGGGCCCTAACAACAAGCCGACCAATCAACACATGGCAAGCCCTCCACGCCTGGAGGCACACCAATCCTGAGCCTGTGCGTCCCCCTGGACACTCCCCTTATGCTGCCCTATAGGATCTCTATGCAGACGCTTCGAGCTGTCTTTCTAGCTATCCGCCATGGTGGGTAGATGAAAGACCTGAGCTAA